TGTAACAAGGGGCAAAACTGTACAGGAGGGAGGGGGCGGGGGGACCGCCGGCCCGAAAGTGGCTCAGTCTTGGAGGGGTTTCACCCTGCACTCCACCCGTCTGTTTGAAGTACTTTCTAGGCGCATGTAGTCTCTATTTACAACTAAAAATGGGGTCTCCAGCTCAGATTTGTCCTAGCAGTGTAAGGGGCAGATGCACTTTCCTGGCCTTCACCCCCCACTTCCTGTCAAGTGACAAATATACCCTGCCTTTTACCGACTCTAAAACAGACACTCTCACGTCCTATCACCTCCGGTATCGGGACATTTCTTACAACTAATAGTTTCTTTTTTTTTTCATTTTTTGATACAGAGTCTCACTCTGTTGCCCTGGTTAGAGTGCCATGGCATCAGCCTAGCTCACAGCAACCTCAAACTCCTGGGCTCAAGCAATCCTCCTGCCTCAGCCTCCCAAGTAGCTGGGACTACAGGCATGCACCACCATGCCCGGCTAATTTTCTCTCTCTCTCTCTCTCTCTATATATATATATATTTTCAGTTGGCCAATGAATTTGTTCCTATTTTTAGTAGAGATGGGGTCTCACTCTTGTTCAGGCTGGTTTCGAACTCCTGACCTCGAGTGATCCGCCCGCCTCGGCCTCCCAGAGTGCTAGGATTACAGGCGTGAGCCACCGCGCCGGCCAATAGTCTCTTACACTTGTAACCAGCAGCGTTTTTTTCTTCATGGTATATAAACTAATGGCGCAGTGACCGGTGGGTATGTTTCCCATCGGTCTCATAATCAGGTTCTAAGCGCCAAACACGTCCCTGGGTAGAGCTGCCAGGACCACAGGCCTCCTGGAGGTCAAAGGGACACAACATCGACAATCTTGGGAGGACAGGGCAGCTGGTGACAGAGGGCCGCATGTAGCTGTCTCGACCGTGGCCTGAAAGCTGGGTGCGGCCCAGGGATGAGTTGAGTTTATTCCACACGGGGTGTGAAAATGTTGTTAATTGCCACATAAATGTTGGGATATTTCATATAAAATCTGCATTTTCAGCTTCTCATGGAAAATCAGAAAGATCAGGCATTCACTAAACCCATGTGCCTAGTACTGAGTGACCTCTTCACACTTACCTGTCCCCACCCACCTGCGTGGCATCAGACACACACTGGAACCCCAAAGATGTGGCCTTCGCAATCATGGTGACAGGATGAGCAGCAGCAATGAGACACTGTAGCACTGACATCTGCCGCGGTCCCCTCAGCCTGACAGCTCTGACGGCACACGGGTGACCTTGCGCAGGCCTCACAAGGAAGTCTTCGAGGGAGATCTGTTGTTATCGTCCCCGCAGCTCAGAGCTGGGTCAGCCACGCCAGCAGCCTTTCTTGCAAGCTGGAAAGAGCGAAGATGTTTCCCAAACTCTCCTTGAGTTTCCTGCTGAGTAAGCAAACCCCCAACGCGGCATCCTGAACTTCCTTCGTGGGTTTCCATGATGAGGGAGTGACGTGGAGCAGGGACGGGCCAGGAGAAGGAACGTGACTGTGTCCAGACCCCAGGGGTCTCCTGAGGGAAAAGGCAAGAGGCCAAGCAGGGATCCCTTGGCAGGATGGCAAGCGAACACGGAGTCTGCAGGATCTGGTCTGTTTACTTGACACCGTCCATACCGCTGTACATCACAACTAAAGGCGACAGTGCAGCCAACGGGGCCCCTACCCAAAGGGCCCAAGAACTTCCTTGATCAGAGATGCAGCTCAAGGGACTGGCCTCACCCCAAGACCAGGGAGGTGGTCAGAGGTCACGGGGAAGCACAGACCTACGGCTGGCTTGCTATTGGTCAACGGGGGGGGTGCCTTCCATACCTACCAACTCCCCCAATTTTGTCAGGTCACTGTGGAGACCTCCCCACACCCCAAAGTTCCACACAGTGAAAATTAACAATTGGGCCAGGCGCGGTGGCTCATGCCTGTAATCCTAGCACTCGGGGAGGCCGAGGAGGGAGGATTGCTCAAGGTCAGGAGTTCAAAACCAGCCTGAGCAAGAGCGAGACCCCATCTCTACTAAAAATAGAAATAAATTAATTGGCCAACTAAAAATATATAGAAAAAATTAGCCGGGCCTGGTGGCGCACGCCTGTAGTCCCAGATACTCAGGTGGCTGAGGCAGGAGGATCTCCTGAGCCCAGGAGTTTGGGGTTGCTGTGAGCTAGGCTGACGTCATGGCATTCTAGCCCAGGCAACAGAGTGAGACTCTGTCTCAAAAAAAAAAAAATTAACAGTTGGATATATCCTCTGGGGCAGAAAACCTGGCGGGGACTGGGGGCTGGAGGTTTGTGAACCAGAGAAATCACCTGGCAAAAGTGGCACCCTTTGAACCTGATGAGCACTTCTTGTGTGCCCTAAGTTTAGGCCTAAACTCCATCCATAAAATTTTGACACTAACAACAAAGGGCTAATTACACAACCGTGGGACATAATGCCCACAAGATCACAGATTCAAACAGCTATGAAAGACGTTCTATTTAAGCTTCTGAGGCCCTAAGCCCAGTTCCACTTAGCCCACTAGTAAGATTCAAAGCGTACACTCTAAGATTTTGAGATAGGACTTGTTTTCTTCTATGGGAACTCAGGACAGAAGAGGTACCGCTTTTACATTTAGCCTTGAATTTACTTTGGGGTTTTCCAACATTTTGAAATAATTTTAGAACCTCTCGTCCTCCTCCTCCCTGCTTGGGAGGGTTGACAGAGTGAAGAACCCACAAGTGTTTCTGGCCCAATCCACTTTGAGAACTGAGAGCAGCCATTCACTCCAGAGGACTGTAACGACCATTTGGCAGAGACTCAGGCATGGCTTTCTGGAGGGTGACCTATTGGAAGAATCTGGCCTTTTCCTTGCAGCCAGTTCTTCTGACACCTGAGCTGGTCCCAACAGCCAGAAGGGAATGGCCTGTTCCTGCCACAGGATACCAACCTCCTGCCTGTAGGCGGGTGGTACCACAGCAGGAAGTTCAAATCCTGGGTAAAAACAACTAGACACGTCCCTACTCCTTACACAGTAGATGGTAGACAAATTGTCAATCATCAGATCAAAACTTTTGTTTCAAACATCAAAAATTCATGTGAAAATCTTAAACTGTTTCTTTCTCCCAATAGACTACTAAGTTCAGCCAATAAATGGCTTCTAGTGGAGACTTAATAGCAAACGAAGAACCTTTTTTAAACTAACACCTTTTAAGGACAGGAGTTGGCAAACTATGGTCTATGTGCCAAATCTAGCCCACTGCTTAATCTTGTAGGGTCTCTCAAATGAAGAACAATTTTTATAGATGAATATTTGCAACTTTTAGTCCCAGTTAAGCAAAATGTTATTCCCTAAGTGAACTCCAATCTTCATATTAGGCCAGTAACATTACAAAAATATTGTACTCTATTTTGAATTTTACCAATAAAAAAAATTTATGGAAATTTGTTTTTTCTTATCTAAGTACTTACATAATATCCTTGATTTTTGCCTAGTGGTCTGCAAAGCCTAAATATTTACAAATTTAGGCCCTTTGTAGGAAAAGTTTGCCAATCCCTGCTTTAGGATGTCTATTGAATCCTAGACATCCAAAACATTAAATTCTGTCCCTAAATTAATATGCCAAGAGGAAGAAGAGCACAGCCTGTTAAATATTAACGCACACTTTTCTTTTATTATATTAAAATCAGGCAATGGTCTGACAATAAAAAGGCTGCTTATGGAATACTGTTACGTTAAACTCTGCTTACAGGATGTTAAATCCTTAGAACTAAGGTTTTCCCCAGAAAAAGATGAATGGAAATCGCTTTTCAGACTTTTGACAGTTGCTGCTCAAAAGGTGGTTTTACACAAATACTAAATTTAAAAAAAAAAAAAAAACTTTAGTACACAATGAATTGCTTTTATTTCGGTATGCATCCACATTTCAGCGTTTAGTGGTCCTGAACAGAAAGTGGAAAAACGCAGCAATTTGCCAGGAAGTCAGCCTGCCAATTTCGGGGATCTGCTGTGCACACCCAGTTCTTTCTGGATCCCTGCTGAGGGTCGTGAGAAGCAGCAGCACCAAAACCAAAGTATGAACTGAATTCAAGGTTCTTTTTGTTCCAGTTGTCAGATTCCAAACTAGACCCCAATGGATTGCAAGGATGACCACATGAGAGCCCTGTTCAAAACTTCTTCAATGTTTAAAAGCAAAAGCAATTACAGGAAAATAAAACAATTCAGAGGGACCATGTGTGCTTAGGAGTGTCTTCATGTGGGCTTTCTCCAAGTTTAACCACCAAGGACTCTGAGAGCTGGCAGGTCTGAGTAACCCTGGTGACTGTTCTTTTCACCTTATCAAAACCTGAGCTAAAAACGCATCAGCTGATGATGACAGCAGAGGGTGGCAGGGCTGAGGACCCCAAATTTATTTCCCAGGCTGGTGGAGTGAATAAATGCGGTTCCAAAACTAAACGAGGGAGGTCAGAGACTCTGTCCAACCTTACCTGATGGCTTCTGGCCAAAGCAAGGAGTGTCATGTAAAGTGTTGGGTGATGACAGTGCAAAGAGGGAC